TTTATCATGTGTCAATAGACAAAAAGCTTTATAGGTAAAAATCTAAAAATCACAAGACGAAGTCACAAGATTTGAACAACCAATCGGATAGAAAAGAGACACATCATTTCAGATGCCTGTAAACCATATTCTACGTTGTACAAACTCCGTTCCTGGTACACGAAAAATTACATAAAAATTAAATTACAGACGTTAATGTAGCTATTTATTAGCAATTATAAAATTCATGAATACATTTTCTCTAGTTGTAACAATTGTATAAATACTTCTATATACACATCACAATCCAATATAAAAATGACCCGAAGTATAACAAATATAATGAAGCGAATAAACGCAAACTTCAGCATAATATGTATAATGTGTTCTAGGAAGGTCAATGGTAGGAAATTTGGCATATCTTGTATATAATGTCTAAAAAAATAATAAAATTGTTTATAGATAGGTTAGTATATATCATAATATATATATATATATTAATCTAATTAGTTGTACTTACTGTAGTTGTATTCCAAAAAGATTGAATAAGAGCTGAACATGTTTGTACTGTTCCTGGACTTGAATTACAATAATAACCCAAAATTGAAACATAGACTTCGGCTAAAATTATTTATATAGTATATATCAAATATTATATACTGATTTGTAAGTCTTAGACATTAATGGTAAATATAATTCATGTTACTTACAGTCAAGAAGAAATGGGTCATAATCCCATGCGACCTTTCCGTAAAACGGCTTATAAATCGTTGAACCCTCCTCTGGTTGGTAAACGTCTACTTCTTGCGCCGAAGCAGTAAAGGTAAGAGTATCTAATAAAAAGATGAAAATAATCCCAAAAGTCTTCATTTTTTTTTTTGAAAGAAAGATAATGAGTGCTGAAATTAAAGTCAAAATTGTGGGTTTTAAATACAAAAAAACAAAGGTTATAATTTGTCTATGATTTGAAAAAGTGTACGTACAGCCTACTGCTAAGGCATAATTGACAAATTCTATAAAAAAATATTTGGATAAATAAGAGTGTACAACTGTACCCTAGGGCTTATGTTTAACCAATTTTTGCCTTTTTGATGGCTTTTATCATTACCGTATTGGTATAAAGGTTTAATTTTACATATCTTTATTACGTGAGAAAAAGTAAATTTTGTTGTTGAGGCTTTTTATTCTAATATTTGAATAATGGCTTACGATTATTTATAAAAATTGTGTAGTGGCTTATAATTTATTTATAAAAGTCGACAATTTATTTAACGCATATTTGTTTACAACAATTATTATCGCGAATGATGCTGAATATAAAAGTTTTTGTTGCTAAATTTTGCAGAACCTCTCGTAAACAGTCAGATTGATTTCAAAATCATTCATCATATGCGGTAATTATTTATACCCAAGTACAAATATATAAAAGCACCTTACCAGGAACGTAATAATACAAATTACATGGTTAACCGCCACCTAAAATGACGAGTGTGCAAATTCATGGGTGATAATCAAATGTATAAAGTTTGGCGCCTTTGCAGCTCGATTTCAAATAATTAAATATAGCAGGTGATATAATATCGATTATCGATAATATGGCGTTTTTTACTTAAGATATTTTTGAGATCCTTTTTTAAAAAATTGGCACTACTTGGTAAATAACAGCACACACTATACTTTTAAAAAACAAAAAGTTCAAAAAATTAATAATTTGTAAGGGCAACTTGATTGGTAGATTCATGAAATTGTAAACCTTAAATTACGTACATACGTACTTAAATGACGCAGACTTGGTATAATTAAATTATTTACACTATACTATCTTTCTAATTCAACAACAATTATACAACTTCAATTTTAATTCCGCATTAAGCATAGACTTATTATCGACGTGAGAATATTTGAGTTAGTGAATAATATTTCATTGTAAAAATATATCAATGCATCTTGTTAATAAGATATAATTATAAGATCGCGTATACGCACCTACAGTCGGCTCCAAAAGTATATCACGGTTACACAAAAAAACATAATAAAAAAAAACATAACAAAAATTTATGCAAA